GAGCCAATCAGTCACAACAATTCTCTCAGGTGGGAGCAGTTCCGGCGATTCTCTCAGGTGGGAGCAAACTCAGAGTTTTCTTTGCAGAGTAATCTTAGAGTTTCTTAATTTGATTGCTTTTGACGACGAGATCGAGTACATCTGGTGCTCAAAACCATAATTATGGCGGAATCCAGCTGCATAGGGCAAGATGAAGATCTGGCGGAAAGAATCAAGAGCTTTTCCCTCTCCGAAAAGGAGAGCTTAATTACTGGTATAGAAAGTGAAGACATCAAAGTTTGCTCGGAGGAATGCCAAAGAAGCCTTTTTGGTAAAGAAGTCCATGGCACTGAGCATAATTAAAGAGGAGGAACGGCATCAGAACAAGATGATGGATTTGGAACTAGCTCTCCAACCCCCTTCATCCCCAGTTCAAGAGAAGGTTAATCTCATTAAGCCTCCAAAGATATCATCAGGCTCAAAACAGAAAACATGGAAGAGGGCATTGAGTAGGGAAGGGAGACTACAAAGGAATGAAGGGTTAGAACTGATGATTCAAGATAACCCAGTCACTAAGAGATCAAGAGAAGATTCTCCACCTTCTCCTCATATCTTTGAACAAGATGCTACTCTTTTTGGCACAGCAGCAAACAAAAAGCTTAAAGGAAAACAAGAACAGGTGGGGGATGCCAGCCTCAAATGGCACCCAAATTCCCAATGTTAGCTGCGGTGTGGAATTGTAGAGGGCTGGGTGGGCCCTCTACAATTTCCCAAATCAGAGAGACCATCAAGGCTCACCACCCCACTTTTTTATTTTTATCTGAAACAAAAAAAACTAGTGGCTTTGTTCAATCTGTAGCTAGGAAGTTGGGTTATGTAGATAGGTTTTCTTTTGTAGATCCTATTGGTCTTAGTGGGGGATTGCTTCTTTTGTGGGACTCTACTGTAAATATTATCAATATTATTCAAAAATCTTACTATATTGCTGTTAATTTTGCTCTGAATTCTGGCCCTACTCAGTGGGGAATTTTTGTTTACATGAGTTCTCATAAGCTGAATAGGATCCTTCAATGGGAAGAACTGGAAAGGGATAAAGCTAGTTGGGGTAACATGTGGTTTGCTCTGGGAGACTGGAATGACCTATGTACAAAGGAAGAAAAAGTGGGAGGTTCATTGAGGAGTGCTAGCAGCTTCTTGGGATTTAACAACTTTATCAATAACATGGAGATGGAAGAGCTCCCAATGCAAGGCTATAAATTCACATGGTGTAACTTTAGGGGGGAAGAAGGTTTAGTGGAGGAGAAACTAGACAGAGCTTTTGCAACAAGTGATTGGATTCTGGAATTCCCAAATGCTTTAATCTTCAACAAAGCTAAAAGTGCCTCTGATCACTCAATGCTCCTACTCAGCCAGGGTCAGACTCAACAAAGAACTCCAGCAAGGTTTCATTTTGATAAGAGATGGCTGGAAATGGAAGGAATTCAAGAGGTAGTGTCAGCAGCTTGGAACCAATCTGTTTCAGGGACACCTTTTTTCAAACTCAAAGAAAAAGTGAAAAACACTAGAACAGCTCTGTTAATCTGGAGTTCTAAGTTTAGATCAAAAAATCAACAAATCATTGAAGGGTTAACCAAAAAACTGGAAATGCTGAGGGAAGACAAAGCTGCAGACTACTGGGCACAATGGAATAACACAAGAGCAGAACTCAATGCTGCTCATAGACAGGAAGAACTCCACTGGCAACAGAGGTCTAAACTAAAATGGCTTAAGGAAGGTGATGGCAACACGAAATTTTTCCATGCTTACACACTTCAGAAAAGAAAGCTCAATGCCATTACCAGACTCCTAACTCCTAATGGATCTGTCCTTACCTCTCAAGATGACATTGAACAACATATTGCAGATTTTTATTCTGATTTGTTTACCTCAGAGGGGAGCTTTGATAGAGAGTCACTTATTCATCTCATTCCAAAGACTATCTCAGAAGATATGAACCAAAGTTTACTGAAGCCTATTTCTGAAGAAGAGGTGAAAACTGCCTTATTCTCTCTGCCCTCGGACAAATCCCCAGGTGAGGATGGTATGAGTGCCCTATTCTACCAACACTTCTGGAATCTGGTAAAGGAGGATGTGTTAGCAGCCATTTTCAGTTTTTTTCAATCTGGAGCCATGTTGAGATATTGAAACCACACTATCATTTCTCTGACTCCAAAAATAGTACAACCTGAAACATTGGCTCAGTTCAGGCCAATAAGTTTATGCTGTGTGATCTACAAGACTCTTTCCAAGGTCCTGGCCCAAAGACTCATGGCTTGCTTAAATGACTGCATCAGCCCTCATCAGTCTCTTTTGTGAAAGGACGGCAACTCATGGACAATATTATTATAGCTCAAGAAGGCTTTCACTTCCTGAACAGACACTCAACAGGGAGGAACTTTTTCATGTCCTTGAAGTTAGACCTTATGAAGGCCTTCGACAGGGTGGAATGGCCTTGTATCCAAAGAATAATGATACAAATGGGATTCCATCTGGATTTTGTGAAGCTGATAATGGTTTGCATATCAACAACTTCAATATCATTCAAAGTCAATGGCAAGGTTAGTGGGTACATCACTCCTACTAGAGGAATCAGACAGGGGGACCCTTTGTCCCCCTATTTGTTCATCATTGCTGCTGAACTGTTGTCAGCCCTCATTTCCAAGGCACAAACTCAAGGCAGCATCCTTGGACTAAAACTTTCTAGAAATGGACCAGCAATCACTCACCTCCTATTTGCAGATGATTCCCTCCTATTCTGCAAGGCTGGGGTTGATCAAGCAATTCAAATTCTTTCTCTACTGGAAAAGTACAGGCTATTCACAGGCCAAAAGGTCAACCTTCAAAAGTCAGGAATCTTTTTCAGCAGGAACACACCTCAGACTTTGAAAGACAGTGTTTGTGGAATCCTTCAAGGAATTGTTCCTCACAGATCTACAAGATGTCTGGGATTACCATTGGGCATTGGAAGATCAAAGAAAGAGGTTTTTGACTATATCCTTTCCTCTATCAGTAGTAAGTTGCAGGGGTGGAAAGGTAAACTTCTCTCAACAGCAGGAAAGGAGGTGTTGATAAAATTAGTCGTCCAAGCACTCCCTATCTTCTCTATGTCCTGTTTCAAATTGCCAATTTCTGTTTGTAAAGAAATCTCAAGACTATGTGCATCTTTCTGGTGGAAATCTGGAGCCAACTCAGAAAATGGTATACATTGGAAAAAGTGGGAGAGGATTACACTGCCAAAACTCAAGGGTGGACTGGGATTTCATGACATAAGCTTGTTCAATGAGGCTTTAATTTGCAAGCAACTCTGGAGAATCTCTTCAAATCCAGAGCTGCTAGTAAGTAAGATACTCAAGGATAGATATTTCCCTGATGGCTCCATTTTTAAAGCTGAGAGGACTCAAAAAGGTTCTTGGATGTGGAACAGCTGGCTTTCAGTGTTGACCTTCTTTGCTAAATGTGTGAAAACTGAAATCAGGAACGGTCTTAGCACAAGAATAGATGATATGAACTGGGTGCCAAATCTGAAAAAACCTTATCCAACTTTGATAGACATTGCAAGGGGTCATCTGATATGGGTAAAAGACCTGCTTCAGAGCAATGGAATGGAGTGGAATAGCTGGCTAGTAGAACAAGTATTTGACAATGAAGACAGTGATGCAATTCTCAAGATCAAAACTCTTAATTCAGCAAGACCAGATAGACTGCTTTGGGGGCCAGAACCAAAAGGTCACTTTTCAGTTTCCAGCACTTACAACTGCTTGGTAGCACAGAAGCTTCTTAGGCTGGACATCCCTGAAGCCAGCACAAGCTATTTCCCTCCCCATCAGATTTATCTCAGGTGCTGGAAAATGAAGATGCAAGGAAAAATCAAACACTTCTTATGGAAGTGCATTTCTGACACATTACCATCTGCTATCAATCTGAGAAAAAGAGGTGTTGATATTCCTGCCATTTGTTCTATCTGTGAAGACCAACTTGAGACTACTGAGCATATTCTTTTCTCATGTCCGAGAGTTAGCAGAATCTGGGAATCAGCCCCAGTTCAATGGGACGGCTTACACAATTTCTCCTTTTCCTTTAGAACATGGTGGCAGCAGGTCAGTTCATTAAAGCAGAATGATGTTGTCCAAGCCAGGATTCAATTGAGTACCTATCTTTTATGGTGGCTATGGAAATCACGCAACCTTTGGATATTCAAAAAATCTCTAATGCCTGAACACATAGTGATAGCTGCTGCACAAAGGGACTGGTTGGAAGCTTCATCTGTTGCTGGACCTTCTTAAAGCTAGGCTGCTGAGGCTACTGCTGCTCCTTTGTTTGCAGAGGTTGTTGCTGTTTCTTTACTTCTTTAGTTTCTGTTTTTTTAATTTTTTCCTTGTTGGTGGTAATGTTATCTAGCTAGGCCTTATGGCAGTGGAGAGATACATTACCCTTTGCTTTTTCTTTCTCTCTTTGCTTAGTTGTTGGTGAGGTTCTAGGTACTCTGTGTAGTACTTCTCAGTTTCAGTTTGGTTGTTTGTTGTAAAATAACAAGGTATTTTTTTTTCGACGATAGACTTTCATTAATAACACACATAATTACAACATATAGAACGATCATAGCAGCCGAAGTCGGTAGCCAAATGGCCGAAATGAGAGGACATCCCAAAGAGAGCCTAAATACCACAACACACCCACAGTAAAAAAAAAGAGACACAAACCTCCCACTAGAGAGAACCTTACTCCCACAAGTAGAGAACAAACCTCCCAAAAAGGAGAACCTTACTCCCACAAGTGGAGAACAAACCTCCCAAAAAGGAGAACAACCTCCCAAAGGGGAGAACCGAGCCCCAACACGACGAAAAACACAAACAAAGGAAAACCAACGCCAACGCAAAATACACATACACACCCACCGCAAACAACACACTGAAAAACAAAACTAGAAAAGAGCCACCACCATAAAGACGGCACCTCGAGAGGCCCCAATCGAAAGACATGGCTCATTGCCCGAGCCCTAGCTTCAGACAGCTAGGCAAGCCGAACAACGACCCCGTCCAGAGGCACCACCCCTGAGATGCTCCGAGAGACTTACCAACCAAGACGCTCCCGCACCAAACCGACCGCGGCTGCCGATACCACCATAGGAACCTGCCGCCACCACCGTCGGACTCATCCGTCACACACACTAGAGACAAATCGACTCCAGGGGAATGCCCGGTCGCAAGCCTCGGACCCGGCCACCACCGGCGCGGCGGACAGGAACTGTAGCGACGGACCATCTTCACCACCCCACAATCCCCTGCAGACACCACCATGGACGCCAATGGACTGAAGCAGCGCCATGGTAGGAGGGACTAAGAGCAGGTCGAACGACCATTCACTACACCGGCGCGAGCTGCCTTCATGGCGGAGAGGAAGGGAGGCGGCCGAAGAGGAGGTAAATCGGCGGGCGAGGGTTTGCTACAGTAGATGGGAACGTGGATCAGTTTTAATTTTCGGCATTTTTTTTTCTCTTTCCACGACCAAAAATAAACCATGTGAGAGGCAGAAAATAAACCAAAAATGATGATTGCCCAATTAACTAAACAGGAATTTTTATTGAAAAACTAATAATATGGATATCCACAACCCTTTAACACAAATAATATTCATTCATTCAAAAAGTAACACTCTCTCATCTACATCATCTCCACATCATTTTTTCACTAAATCTCTCTCCATTTCATCACACACCCACATTCCAACACATTCATTTAAATACATCTATAAGACCCATTATCTTTTATATTCTATTTTCTATAAAAATAAAATTTAATATTTTTACTTAATAAATTTTAAATGGATGAAAATGAAATAACACTACAAGACCAAAATAACTTAAATTAAGATTACACAAGAAAAAAATAGTACAATTAAAAAAATATTTTGTTTAGCTTTTGGCAAAATGAGTCCAAATATGTTCAACTAAATCGGCACGAAGTTGATGATGCATTGTGTTATTTCGTATCTCTGAACTTCTATGAATATAATTTTGAAATTCTCGATTTGAACCCTGGACAGGTTGTGCAGACTCTTGTGTTACTACATCTCCTTCATCTTCAACAATCGTATTGTGTAGAATAATGCATGTCAACATAATAAATTTCAGTTTCCTTCTATACCAAAATCGCGCAGGACTTCATACAATTTTCCATCGAGACTGAAGCACTCCAAATGCTCTTTCTACATCCTTTCGAGCAGCTTCTTGTTTTTCTTTTAATAACTTTCTTTAAGGATCTGACGGGCAAGGAAAAGACTTTACGAACGTAGCCCATTCTGAATATATTCCATCTATAAGATAATACACATTTGCATATTGCATGCCGTTGACATTAAAAAGAACGTTTGGTGCATTTCCTTGCAATACATTATTGAATAGAGGAAATTCATACAATACAATGATATCTTTACGTGATCCTGCAACACCAAAAAAGGTATGCCATATCCACAAATCGTGCGAAACAACCGCTTGAAGGACAATCGTAGGAGACCCATGCCCCCTTGTGAATTGGCCTTTCCAAGCAACTGGACAATTTTCCATTCCCAGTGCATACAATCAAGGCTTCCAAGCATACCCGAAAAACCATGATTTTCTTCATGCATTTGGAGGAGTCTTTGAACATCGCTACTGTTCGGTCTTCTCAAATATACATCACCAAAAATTTGAACCACACTTTCAAAAAATTTGAAAAGACATTTGATAGTGGTTGATTCACCCATACATAAATACTCATCAAGGTGGTCTGCTGGGACTCCATAAGCCAACTGACGAATAGCTGATGTGCATTTTTTAAGTGGTGTCAAAACTTTGTCTTCCTACTTCATCAATGTTTTGCTGGAAAAATGATGATCGTGTCTGAAGTGCATTCACAATTCGAAGAAATAATTGTTGTTGCGAAAAAGAAGAATTTGATGGGAATTGTGGGAAAAATTGTGCATGATAAGGAGATTGTGAAAATGGTAAATTTGGTGGAGTTTGTGAAGTTTGAAAGAATGAAATTTCATGTGGATTGCTAGGATCAGAACTTGAGAAATTTTGAAAATTTTGCCTATTATTCGGATCCATTTTTTTTAGGCAAATGAGCAGTTGTTAATTTTTTTGGTGTAGGAGAAGTGTAAAGATAGAGTGTATTTATAGGCAAAGAATAGGGGATAGAAAATATAAATTATTACTGATACACATTGAGAAGTGTGGTATAGATAAAATTTGAATTTATCTATATTGGGAAGTGTGATAGAGATAAAAAATAAGTTAAATACAAAAACAAAAAGGAAAAATATTAAATAAAGAATGATTTAAAAAAATAAAGAAAGCAACTAAACGCGTTCAGCCAAGTCAACGCTATAGTGGGCCCCCCTTTTAATGGATGAGCCGCAACGCAACTTAACGTGGGGGGCCGTTTAAACGCACAGAAATTAATCCGCGTTGCGGATGCTATAAGCGAAACTAGAAAATAACCAAACCAAAACAGTATTTACACATTAAAAAATCAACTGTTATATAACAAACTATGGGTACAGTATCTCATAACCAGAAATATACCAGATAATAAAAAAACTATATAGTTAGATAAAGTTATAAAATGTTGTATAGAATAAAAATATTGCTAATAATCCATTCTACAATTGTAAATATTGATTAGATCAAAAGATACAACATGAAAAGTCATCTCATGTTGGGATCCTGTGATCCCGAGTGTCAAACTTATTATCCTGTTGGGATCCGACACTCGAGTATTACTCCGTTGGGGTCTTTTTAGTTGTTTTAGTAGTTTGTATTGTTGGTTAGTTTAGTTGCGAGTGTTTTATTCTAGCGTTGCTAGCGGGACTCTAGGCGGTCTTCTGACCTGTCCTCCCACTTTTTCAGTTGTTGGCTGTTGTGTATTCAGCCGTTGGCTGCTGTATTTTCGCACATTTGTGCATTTTGATTTATAATATTATCTATCGTTTTGGGGAAAAAAAAAAAAAGTCATCTCAAATCTGAAACTGCAAATTAACAATCGACTGTGCTATCTAGACGAACCTCGATCCTCAGCCACTCTGAGTTTGAGGCATTTAGTCTATAGACAGTAGCGGCTCAACCTGTAGATCAAGCTAAATCATACTGCATAACCCTCAACCTGTACTTCATATGCATAATTGATTTCGGAGCTGCTTCCTCTAAACTGTAACATGGTACCAAAGCTAGAAAATCTAAATTTTTTTCTTTGCTTTTTGCCATGGCCGAGCTTGATGTTTTGTTGTTGGCAAAAAATTAGCTCCCTCATCTCACTTACCTTCATCTCCGGTTAGATTGCACCAATTTTATTGTTATTGGAAGCTGCAGATCCAATCCACGGTCCTGCCCATGACTTTGAGGGTTTTCTGCTTAACTCAACTCCTCTAGTGATGTTTTCTTCTTGCAGTAGCCCACTCTTCTATTCCGGCAATCAATCCCGACTTTGTTCAATGGATGTTAATCGATCAACTCATTCTTAGCTAGATGTTGCCTTCTATGACTGAATCTATGATTAGACATATCACTCGATGTTCCACTTCGACTGAGGTTTGATCGAAATTATTACAACTTTTTCATACGCAGTCCAAAGCTCGTGTCTTCATCTAAAGTTTCAAATTCAAACTCTAGAAAAGGGTAATCTATCTGTTGATGAGTATATTCCTAAGATGCAAAGTTTTGCTGATGAAATGCACTCTGCTGGTCACCACATTACTGATGATGTATTATGAATGTATGTCCTTGGTGGCTTAGGTTTTCATTATGGGGTTGTAGTTGTCAACCTTACTTCTCTTTTGGATTCAATATCTCTACCTGAAGTTTAGATTTCTTTAAAACTCATCAAATGCATCTTTCAAGGCAGATATCTTCTTCTCCGCTTGCATTTCTTGCTACTAATTCATCCTCTTTTCCTTAGAATACATACCCTACAAATTATATGCAATCTCGTGGCGACTCCTCTTCTTTTTGTGGTAATAACAAGGAAGTTGTACACATACCCTAGCGCAATTGTTTGTCCCATTTTTGTTGCTATTTTTATTGGTATTTTGTGTGTCTTTTTTCCCATTTTAGGTCGTTTCTTAGGAGTTTCCGGTCCGTCTAGTCGTTTATTGTATTTTTATCTTCATTTTGGTGTGCTTGGTATTTTCTTTGTTTTTCTTCCTATTTTTCTTGTTTTTCGTGTTTTTCCAATTGTGGTGGTTTCAAGTTTCAGACGAGGATAGGTATTCTGTTCCGCTTCCCAGGAGTTTTCATACTGGTTTGTACGACTCAAACACGCGAGAATCGAGTTTTCTAGCTCTGGCAGAACCCGAGTGATGCTAGCCGAGAGTGCACGAGCCCGGAACATCAAGAATTTGTAGCTGCCCAGGCCTTAGTGCAGCTAAGGCCCTAACACGCTAAGCCTGACTTAGCTGGCGGCGCTACCCCTTGTTAACGACCTCCGCAGCCAGCGAAAATTGCACCTTAGCGGCGGTAAGTGGTTAGTACCGCTAACCCCTGCTTGTAACCGACATCGTTTTTCGTGGATTTTGAAAATGGAAGGCATAAGGGTCGAGTTAGGGCATTAGCTTGGGAGATCTCATACTTGTAATTTCGACTTTTCTCTTTAGAAAACGCCATTCTATCTTTTGTTTCACTTGGATTCAATCTTGGAGAGTAAAAACTCCATAATTCATCATTTGGGATTTGGATTGCTCGTTTTTTTTTTCGACAATGGATTCGATATTAATAGTAAGCACTTCTTTTCATTTTGTGTATGAATATGATGGCTTGTTTAATTGCGAATTGTTGTGTTGAAATTGCAAAGAGTGGCTAGATTCGTTAACTAGGGTTAGGGGATAATTGTTCCGGTTCGTTTTCGTTTACGTGTATGTTGATTGCTCAGTCTTTGCGAGTTGTGCTAATCCTAGGGTTAGATGATTGATTACCATCCTAATCTAGTAAATCGATTTTTAGAACCGAAATGGGAAAAATCGATCGATCTAGGCTCGTTTAGAATAGGCTTGTTAGTAATGGTATTTCTTATGTGTTCATTGACTCGATAATTGTTCGTTTATGTTTATTCTCTTGTTACGAATAGTTATTGAGAATAAATCTCTAGATGAGTAGTTTTTCGAGTCCTTTAGCCGAGTAGTTGCTTTTCCGATAAATGTATTTAGAACTGGAAATGATTGTCCCCGACACCCTAGTCTATTTATTGCTAGTTGAATCGTGTTCCGAGTTGTGAGATTGAAAATACTGAGTTAAGAACCATTAGTTGATAATTGAAATGCAAACCTATTGAATTAGAGTGTTTAAGGTTGTTTTTTCTTTTTGTAATTGAATATATGTACAAAATAATCCGGCTAACCTTCCTTGAGACACGATCCGCGGATTGAATCTATTGGTTTAACTCCGGTAAAAATAACTACAACAAAATGGCGCC